CGGGATTATGATCTTTCGGGATTATGATCTTTCGGGATTATGATTTCGGGATTATGATTTCAGGATTATAAAATTTCAGGATTATAAATTTTCGAGATTTTTTTTTTTCAGGATTTAGTTTTCGGGATATTACCCCTTCGGGATTTTGTTCTTTTGGGATTTGGTACATCGAGATTTAGTACCATTGGGATTTCGATGTTCGGGATATTGACCCAAAATCAGAATTTTCAATTATATATACTTAGTGTTCCACACAAATCGAATCTAGCGAATATTTCTAAAGATTCAGATTTAATCTGAAGTACAGATCGAATCCAAGCTAGGATTTGAAACGTATCATGCAGATCCAGATTTGATCCAACTAGAGATTTTTTTATTGTAGCTGCACAAAAAACTACTAATTATTTTAAATTATATCGACCACCCAAAGCACACTCTCAAGTACAAATTTCTAACAAAATAATAAAGAAAAAAAGCCAATCCAATTTTAAAAAAAATTGAATGGATTTATAAAAAATAAAATAAAATCAGGCTAATAAGAAGTCAACATATTGAAAAGACAGCTAAGCATGAATATAGGAACAAGCCAGTTAGGCCTTAAATACAACTATTAATTCTAATCACCGTGTGAGAAGACATTTAAAGTCTGATACCATATAAATGAATAACGCCCACCTATATGTTATTTTAAATACACTTATGTGTATAATTTCGAAATAAGAGAACATTTCTAAATTCAATATAGCTAGCTTTCAGTAAATGCACGTTGTCTGGTAAAATATATTGTAGAGTGTTCATTTATGGAGAATAATCCACATATAATATTAAATAGTTACATTAGGCCAATTAAATTATGTGCACTTATAGAGTATGCATATGGAGTATTGACTGTATATCTATCACAACGATAAATTATAATGCTCATTAATTCAGAACACTCATGAGTGCTAATTCAAGATTATATGTTATTTTTGAAACACCCGATTTTCAAAATGACGCATACGAGCATTATTTTGTGCTTATGTGGTAAGTAAATTTAATAAATGCTTAATTTGGAACTTTACTAATTACGTACTAATCATAACCTCATTTCAAAAAACAAGCATATAAAAGCCTATATCACATTCATTTATTCAATAAAGTTTGATATCTGGCACTATTAGCTCGATGTATTTGAATAATGTATAATAATAAATCTGAATCGAATATTATTAAATCAAATCTCTCTTTGGGTTTGGATCTGCAGGATCTGAAAACTATGAGATTCAAATGGGTTTGTGGATCGAATCCGGATTAAGCCTGAATCTCGAATCTATTTTGCGAAACACTATGTATACTATATAACACCCAGGGCGTTATTTTGAATAATAACCCAAATTAACTTTAATTTAGGCCAAAATTCAAAACTACACTCCTGCACGTTATTTCATGTTTATACAACATTTGCCTGATTGTATAGGTGAGTTATGATTTGCAAATTTGATCATGACAACAAACTGCGAAACAATCATTTTCTAATAACTTCAAATTATCTTCCAGTAACTTGCCAATATAAGAATCTATGTTATGCCACTCTTTCAATGGTTTTGAAGTAACATAGGCATTATGCAAATGAGCTTTTTTTGGTGCCATGAAATTTTTTTCGGCTATAACGCATAGCAATTAACAATATTCCAATGTCAAATTAATTTCAGTAGTCAGTACGCGTATCAAATCTAATAACTCTGTAGCAAACATGAATTTTATGAATAACACAAACCAAAAAAAGGAAATCATATTTTGTGACCTGTATCACACATAATTTAAATATAGATTAATTCGTCTTAACAACTACTACCTCACTACATAGCTCTTTTGTCGAGAAACACTGTAACTTTTGTATCTTGAGGGATTTTGCTTGCTTGATAACTCTGCTCTTGAAGTAGTTGTGATTGTGATATCTTTTACACTTTCTTATACCAACAGACTAGTACAGACTGCTTTAAGGCTTATAGACTTGCAACTTGTAACTCTGGGAGGTGTATCGATGAAAGGAGATTGATGAGGGACACCGTAATTTTTGTATCTTGAGGGCTTTTGCTTGCTTGATAACCTTCACTCTTGAAGTGGTTGCAATTGCAATGTTTTTCACACTTTCTCTATAACAACAGACCAGTACAGACTGCTCCAAGGCTTATAGACTTGCGACTCCGGGAGGTGTATCATCATTTATCTGTTATAGCTAACAAAAAAACAGAAATTTATTTACATGTACATACCCATACTCAGCATATTTGTATTCTACGAAAATTAAAGAATAAAGCCCGATGTTGGTAATACTTTTTTTATTTATTCACGTTCAAAAAAAGTAAACACAAAAAAATTTTTATTGATATTTACAATTTTGATATGATAGTGTGTAGTTATATCAGAAACACAAGTTTATCAAAAAGTAAAAAAGTACGTGGATTCTAAGCCATTAATAAAAGTCCTAGTATTAAGTTATTTCTTTGCTTTTTTAAGTTTTTACTATTGCTAACTACAAGATTCTCAGCCTCATCTACACTAGATTTTTTGAATATCACTTCCACCTACATGGAACATTAAGTTCTGCAAAAAAATCTGAATCTAAGGCATAATTTGGGAATTAGCAACTGAAGTAATGATTCACTCTTACTATTATGACTTATTTTACAACAATTCACTTTACTTTGTATTTATAAAAAATTACAATTTTTTTACCATTAGCTAAAGAATTTATAAGACAAAATATGACTGCCGTTTATTGAACTATATCAAAGATAAATGAAAATAAAACTATGTTTTGGTTTATAGCTTGTAGGTTTTTTAAAGCGTAGATTTATTATAATTTGAGTTTTTTTCATTTTCTAATACTGTAGTTGAAAATTATATTATTACAGTTAGATCTACAAAAATTAGCTGATCATATGAATGCCTTTCTATTACTATGACTGTAGAGTTAAAAAAATAGAGTTTACTAATTTTTTATCAGTTATTTGAAGGGTAAGCATCAAACTGACACTTATTGAGTTTTCGGTTTACATTGTTCACTATGTAGAGAAAATAATCGAGACAATAAACTTTATATTCTGACTTGCAATATGTCTATCCCTTAAATTGTTTTGCAGCCAAATTTGCCTGCAAACTTTTTTAAATTTTAAAATTTTTTAATAAAATTTAAATATTGATTTTAGCTATATCTTTTCTAAGTAAAATATTTAATTTGAGATTTGTTTTATTAGCTTTATTAAGA